CACCTCATCCGCCCTGGACGCCGATGAACCGCCATGGATTGCCTCGAGAGGCACCTGCGGCATAGCCGCAGGTGCCCCTCGCTCTCTTCCTCTCGACCCCAACTGTAGTCGTCGCGGCTCCAGCTACTGCCACCCTGCCAGTTGCCTACACTCCAGCTTAAAGACGACCGCCAACTCTGGGCGTTCGCTTGCCATGGGGGAGACAAATCCGCATGATGCTGCTCGTTGTCGGTGCACGCACGCCCTGGAAGGGCACTGTCCGCACGGTGCCGCGAGGTGCTGGCCTCGCTGCACCGGGGCGCGCCCAGCTGGAAGTCCCTCGCAGCTGGCGGCCTCGCGGCCGCGGCGAAGCTCGACGAGGCAGCCCCCGCGCGCGAGTACGCGCCCCCGTGGGTCGGGTTCTCTGCGCGGCGTCACCCGGACCCCCGTCGATCATCTAGCGCGCGACTGCTTGGCCTCATAGCTCCCTCGCCGTCTTTTTCGGCCACCTTGCCCTTGCCCTCGGCGTCGCCCGACATTCATGCTGCCGCAGGACGGCCCTCAGACCACATAGAGTTCGGCCTCCTTTCCCCCTTGGCCCACTGCGCCCGAGGGGAGGCACCGATCCCGACATAGTCAGGCGGCGCCCGGGCCCCCGCTTCGCGCACGGGCGGCCGCGGAGCTCTCAGAAATTCCACCGGCGGCCAGTGATCCTCCATTTCCTGTTCCACGGCAGCTTTCACTTGACTGAACGGTTGGACTTCAGCGCTCCGCGAGGACTCTCTGCACCGCGCGGACCATCCCATGCTGGGCTCTTCGCGATTGCGGTCCTCCGGATGATCAAAGCCCCAGTCGCAAGGCTCTGCAGCGCGGTCCTTTCTAGCAGCGCATCATTTCCACGAGCGCCGATACATTCGTCGCCGACGACTCTCCACCTGTTCTGTGTTCGTACCTGCACGCGGTCAATATCATAGCCCGTCAATTTCCGCCCAGTACTCTGCGCTGTAGGGTTGGGGACATAGCCCTCTCGATCCCGCTTGGCCAGACCGATTCAACGGTAGTCGATATTCGACCATTCATGTCAGGGTCAGCAATCGAGGTGCCGCACAAAACAGGTGCCCATGCATGTAAAAGCAACTCAGTGCACCCAGCCGATCACGGCAATCGCTGCTGCACAGAAGGTACCATCATCCCGGACATTCTGCACACGGAGTGCCATACTCTTCGCAGTAGAAGCGAGCAAATCATAGTCATCATCATCATCATGATCATCATCATCAGGTATCCTGACATGAACTTGGTGCTGTTTGATCCAGTCTATACATGCCCTGTCGAATCGGGGAAAACCTCAAGCGCAGCGCGCCGTCAGTCATAAACCAAAAGTCCACGAGATCCGAACCCGCAGCGCCCCCGACACGGCAACACGCATGATATGATAAATGTCGCTGAATTTGGGCCGGAGCGCAGTCGCCAGGAAGCCATCGCGTTGAATCCAAATGTCCTGATTCTCGAAGATGCGAGGCTCAAGCACATGCGACTCCAAGATCGGATACGGAGTTCCCAGACCGAATATACTGGCATCCAATGCTTGGCCGGCCACAGCTCGCGCCCATCCTCCAGGTCTAGGCCACGTCGACTGCTGCCCATCCATTTCACCGCATTGACCCTCCTGCGCTCTCGGCACCTGCTTAACTGCCCCACCAGACCCCTGCTCACGGTCTCTGACGAGTGGGCCCTGAGTAGCACGGTACGGCCCGAGCTGCGTCGGTAGGCAGGTCAGGAAAACGTACTGCCGCACGCCCTGGAGGTGCCTGTGGGGTAGGTCGAGATGCCCGCTCATGATGGACCTTCGCACCGAGGCATCGCCCAATGGAATGACAACTGCCTGGCCCGAGTACCTCGCTGCCGCATATTTGATGCACATGCGTCGCGGGCCAAGAACTCGAATAGAGAGACCCTTGCAAGCGCCAAAAAAGCAGTGGCACTCTCGCCATTGGCGTCACCATAAGTGCGTTCCTGTCGACATAGTCGACGTCAGGACTTTCGCCCCAATCGTCTGGCCAAGCAGTGGGACCTTCATCGGCGTTCGTCATGCTCACGCCAAGGATCTGGACAGCATGACGTGGTAGTTGAGCAAGAGTATGCATAAAGCGTCCCCACACCCTGTCATAACCCACGTCGTCCAGCATCTTGACAATGACGGACGCCTCGACCCATCCTCCTGGACTGCGAACATGAGCTGCGCTATGGATAGCGAGGTAAACGATGATCTAGCCAAGTCGCCCAGCTTCTTCCACGTCCATCCCCGAGCACCATCCGAGCGCGCGCATTTGATTGACAGGTCAAGCTCATCGGGGCGAGGCCAGACTCGGGCGTCGGGAAGCAGCGTGGCTCAACCGCGTTGTAGCGGGCGCGCAGGAAACGACGCGCCTTTGCCCCGTCCTCAGTGGACAGGCGCCGCAAGAACTCTAGTAGAGCATCACCCACCAAATCGCGTGACCACTCCAGCCTTCTTTTCTGGAAACCACTGCCCCGCTTCTCTGTCTGCGAAGAACTCAAGGCCGGAGTCGCGATGCTCCTCGAGCTGCCGGGCCAGCTCAATGGGGACGGCTCGCAATGCTGCGTCGTCTTCCTCAATGAGAGGGGCGCCGCACTCGTCCTTCTCCGCGCGCTCGAGCCCAGGGTGGGCCGTCCCCCCCCAGCTTGGTTTTTCTCTGCCTGCCCTCACTGATCGAGATACGTTATCTCTTGGGCGGCGTCGGGACCCCTCCGAGGCAGAAGTACTTCGACATGAATGCGTGAAGAAGCTCGTTGGAGATTTATGTCGAGGGGAATCAGCCTGGGCTTCCGTTCAAGCATAACCTCGGCTTGGCGCTCCGCACCATCATCTTGATAATTTCTAGCGCCATCCGACTTCTTGTCCTCTGCGTCTCCAGAGCCAGGAGCGACATCTGGGCCGACTTTGAGCACCGGAGGCCGGGGGGGGCGAAGGGCTCTCCTCGTCGGACGCGCCCAAACCCACCAAGCTCGGTCCCTTTTCGGACGGATGGCTGTCCGCGCTTGGGGTTCGCGCCATCGAGAGGCTCTCAAGCCTGCGCAAGCGACGCAGATTCGGAAGGTAATGGGACAGACGGGGAGGCCATGGCATAGCCGCGGGCCCCGTCCGCCACGCTCGCGGCGGACGGTTGCCCTCTCGCCCAGGGTCGGATCCGAGTCTGTTGACGCCACCGTCGAGCTTTCGGCTTTCTCGCTCAGTTCCGCCGCCCCGCAGCTCGAAGAGCACCCTTTCATGCGCCCAGACCTCGGCGGAAGCGCTGTGTCCGCAGGCGTTGGCCCAGCGGCAATATACACGCTGATGTGGTGTGCATAACTCATCGCGCGATTCCACCGGCTTCAACATCGATCCTTCTTTCACCCCCGTCTGCGCCGCACCATGACACCCGAGTCGAAGACACAGGTATACTTGCTCCTTTCGGGATACACCCAGACTAACCTCTATGACACACTCCCTCGTCAATTGCTTCGTGCCATCCATCGGCGGAAGACGATGAGTGGCGCTCCATCACATGGATCAAGCGGCTGTGAGTCTGGGGGGGAGGACGGCTCCAGCTCCTTGGAAAGGAACCGGAGCCCTGCATCCGCATAGTACCCTCTCTTGATGCCCGCCGCCCCCAATTGTACCCAGCTCGGCCGCTGACGATTTAATACCATGGCCTCAGCGCGAATACCGCCCGCAACGCCCCGCACGATCTCGGCAAAACGTTCACGGAATTATTTGCCCATTGCGGGCCGGGCAGGGTTCTCTCGTTGCGGACGACGTCGACATCGTCGTCGGTCACCTCGGCCCTTCGCCCCATGTCTTCGTCATCTTCCCCACCGAGTCGTGGGATCTGAGTTCTTTCCCTCACAAGGTCATTTAGTGAATAATGCTCGGATCGATCATCAGCTTCCACATTTGCCGGGGTGGGGATGTCCGCGTCAATCTGTGATTTCTTGCATTATGATCAACCTGCACACGTTTGGACGGACTAAGTACCGTTCATACCACTAGTTCGTCTCCAACTCCACCCCCCACTCCGTTGTCGCGAGCAAAAGCACGAAGGTGCTCAACGAGCAACCTCCTACCAACATGGATATCTTAAATCTGTTCTTCCTGCAGACCACTACAGAGACGCCGCCGCACCTCGCGACGAGCTCGACTTTGCCGCTCCGCGCGGGGCATAGACACTACCCCTTATCCACCTCGTCCTGAATCCTCCAGGGAGGAACCTTGACAGTCTCGCGCCATCCATGCCCCGTATCCTCAATGGAACAAAAAGGACATGTGTCCACTGCGGCGGCAAAGTCTAGCTCAAATCTGTCACGGGCAGACACCATGGGGCGGTGCAACCATAACCCCGTTTGGGCGCGTCTGCGGCGGCGCGGCGAAGTAGAGGCGGAGGGCAATTCTCACAAAAGTCCCGGGGGCGAGGACAGCAGCGCTGCTTGTTCTTTTCTGTGCCCACTGCCTTGAAGCCCCCCTGTTCCGACGGTGGAAACAGGATCTGGAAGTCGTGCGTGACGGCCAGTGCATCACCGAAGAGCTCTGCCGCGTTGGCGCAGGCGGCGCGCTGCCAAAGTACTAAATAAGACTCATCGGAGGCATGCACTCCCTCTGCAAGTGTCTCAGTGCCCTTGCAATTCTTTGCCCGCCCACCGTCGCTCATCTTGGAGGCGACGAACACGCCCGCGATAAGGACGGCGCCGAGTCTGTTAATGTTGACGGCGTGCGAAAAAAAAACTTCCACCCCGAGTTCCTCGTCGAGCGCACATAGGTCGGCTGGCAAGTCGACAGGCAGGGTGGGCTGGGCACGGCATGATCGGGCTGAACATCAACCGCAATTCCTGACAGGTCCAAAACGTCGCATAGCGCCCCTTGCACATCGCCAACCGCGCATAGGCGCCCAGTGAGGAGCCATTCAATGGCACACCGACCGAGGTAACTCTTGGTGGGCTCAGGGAAATGCGCTCGCTCGGCGAACCGCTGCCGCGAGCCATGCCATGGAGTTGGCATGCGTGCGGCTGCGCGTGTACGAGAAGTCGTCTGGCATCAGCTCCCTGTCCAGCGATGTCGGGATCGACGGAATGTAGCATAGCAACAGTTTGTACTCGACTTGACGATCATAAGTCACCGCTCTTCCTATCAGCCCACTTTCGATTCTGTCTGGCCCGATAACAATCGGTCTCTGGCGCGATTGACTGGCCTCAAAAGCGTGGGGTGACACGATCAATTGGTCTTCGATGTCGCACATTGGGTTAACATCCGCGGCCCCGTCAACGGCGCGATACTCGGTGGACAGGAGAAGTGAATCCTGCATCTTCTCCCAATCGCGAACCAGGCCCATGTTCCATCTCTTGGGGGCCTCGCTGGTATTGCCAGCGGCCGCCCCGCCTATGCGGACTCCTCTGTGGCCGATAGCGGTCACCTCGCCCCTTTCCCGCAACGCCTCTAGACACTGGGTCATCCTGGCGTCAGGCCTTAGCGCGAAGTACTCGACGTTGGGGTCAGGCATCATGGCGGGGAAATGGACTTGAGGGTCGCAACGCAGTGTTTACATTGGCACGTCTTCCCACGGCATCCTTTCAGCAGCACCCTTTTCCTTCATCCAGTCCGCAAACCTCCGCGAGCCCACGTCGATGTGTGACAGCATGGGCAACAAAAGGGAGTCCTGGAGGCTGAACGGCAAAAAGGTATCGAACTCAATGCCCGCTAGTGCCTGCCACCACGCAGGGCGCCCCCATCAGAAAGCACTCAACCCTGGGCGGGCGCACAGGCGGGAACCTGCATGCCTGATCAGCACGAGTGCAGGCAAAGCCTCCTCTCGGACTGCCCCCAGGACTGGCATTCACCTCAATACAAGTCTCGCTGACGGTGGCGATGCATCTGGCCATTTCCTTCACATACAACTTGCCAGGACCCACCTTGAAACGCCACGGGTCGTCATCTGGGCGTTCGCCCTTTTTGCACAGCTCTGATCCGCGTATCCACAGCATCCGACACGAAATATCAGGGTCTTCCCAATACATCATGCGGTTGTTAGCAACGGCCGCGGCCTGGTTTGCGAGCGCGTTCTCGGCGACACGTTCTCCACTGGCAGCCATGACTCCCCGGGGTTGCGCATCACCCAGCCCCAGGACCACCATGTAGGCGTCGTCTCTTCCTGCGCACCCAGCTTGCATATCGACCAGCTGCTTCACCTGCTCCAGCACCTCCGACACGAGGTCGAAATACTGTTTAATGTCGGCCCCCGGCGCAATGCCTCGCAGACGCCTGTCATCCGAGTCGGCGCCAAGGCCGCTGCCGCTCCGGAGTACGACACGGCATCTGTGCCCGGTGCGACTCCGGAAAATTTTCTGGCTGCAGCACCCGATTTTCCCTTGTTGGTCCAGCAGCGAGATGTCTGGCAGAGTGATGCCGCCTTGGAAGTATGCATAACATCCTGCGACCTGATTGTGAATTCACATGCGAAGGAGGGTATTCGCCAGGTCGGTGGAAAAAAAACCAGAGCGGCCGGACAATACCCAAGGCGGCGGGACCAGGGCAGACAGGGAGCAGCATGCAAGGGCGGCCTGGCGGGGGGGAGGGATGAGGCGGAGGGGACGGAAGAGGCGGGGGGCGGGGGGCGGTCGTCGGAACGTCGTGGGCGTCCTCCTCCAGCTGTTCCTCCTCCTCCTCACCTTCTCCTCCTCCGCCTCCTCCGTCACCTCCTCCTGGCCTCGTGGACCGTCTTGGAGGCTTTCTGGCCTCTCACGGGCCGTCTTAAAGGTATCTGTTCCTCCTCGCCCTCAGTCTCCTCCTCCTCTATCCTCCTCCTCCTCCTCCTCCTCCTCCTCCTCCTCCTCCTCCTCCTCCACCTCCTCCACCTCCTCCACCTCCACATCCTCAGGGTCCTCCTTCTCCTCCTCGTCCTCCTCCTCCTCATCCTCCTCCTCCTTCCCGCCCCCTCCTCCGCCATCCCCCCCCCCTCCTCTGCCCTCCCCCTCGCCCCTCGCTGCGGATGGAAACGGATCGTTTCACGATACAGAAAGAAATGATTTTCCGTTCGGTCATTCCTGGATGTTGGACCCGAGCCGTCCGCCATGACGACAGTTCCGACCCACGATCCAGCACACACGGAAGCTGGCATAGCGAAAATCCCATGGGAGCTCCGCCAATTCGACGAGGACAGCAAACGGAGGACATCACGACAAAGGCGGGAAAATGAGCTCGGGATTGGATCGCGATCCGATTGTCTTGTAGACAGAGGGAAGGAAGGAGGGATGATGAAGGGGAGTAAAAGCGAGAAGGTGAGGAAAGGGGATGGGAGGAAGGGAGAGGAGAGGACCAGTAATGGAGAGGAGGATTCCGAAGGTTTTCAGGACAGCGAGCACGAGACGAGGGGACCAGGCCGAGTGACGTGGGAAAAGACAGACTCAGAGCGGAGTCCGAGGAGCTCTGGGAATGATGAGGAGAGTAATGAGCAGTAGCGACAGCATTTAGCATCGTGAGCAGCAGCACCTGAAGAGGGCATGGACGGGCTTGGCGACGATGCAAAGGGAGGCACCAAGAACTCACAGAGGGGACAGCGAGAGAAATGAATACTCGAAGACACCAAACGCTTGGACGGAGTCATCTCTGACGAAGAAGGCTACCAGTGGCCCATAATGTCAACTAAACTGCAGAGTACGCCGAGTGCACGTCGATAACTCGCCGAATGTGAGTCCAGAGCAAGCAAAATGACGAGGCTGGGGGATTCGGGTCGAGCACTGATGACGAGGAAACCAAGCCAAGGATGTGTGCCGACCATGGTCATCGAGGAGTACTTCAGAGACAGCATGTTGGTCAGCAGTGTCCCAGCGAAGAAGGGCGCCACCAGCAGCCTGTTCGCCCTCCCTCAGACCACGGGAGGACGACGCAGGAGAGGACCCTCCTCCCCGGCGCTGCCTCCCCTGGAGGACGAGCAGGGTGGCCGAGGACGGCGCTGCCCAGGAGGAGGAGGAAGAGGAGAACGAAGGGAGGAGGAGGAGGAGGAGGAGGAGGAGGAAGAGGAGAACGAAGGGAGGAGGAGGAGGTGGTGGAGGAGGAGGAGGTGGATTGCATCGCATCTGGTGGCGTGGGCCCACACGGCGTCGGCCTCCCCCCCCACCGTTCACCGACGGCTCCCGGGGCCCAGGAGCAGCCTCCGGAGACGGAGCAGTGGAAGCGACGGCGAGGCTTGAGTGCGACGCCCGAGCCTGGGGGGACGTCTTGGGACGTCTTTTGGGGTAGGGAGGAGGAGGAGGAGGAGGAGGAGGAGGAGGAGGAGGAGGAGGAGGAGGTGAGAGGGGGGCTGGGGCGACGGAGTCTATACGCATTCACTGCTCCCTGGCGAGGGTGTATACGCCACGCCCCCCTGGCTCGGCCAGGAGGGCGTACACACGGCTCCCAGGTTCAGGATGGGCCTGGCCAGCGAGCAGTGGATGCGTGTAAATGTCGTCGCCCGAAGTGTGGGAAGACAGCCGCCAGCTCCCAAGCCAGGGTACCTCACAAGGGTAACCCCCCCGAGAGCTGGTTTCGGGCCCCAGGGCTATCAGAAGACCAGCGACGAAAGATTGCCCCTATCTGTTTGGTCTTCCGCACCTGAGTATCGTTTAACCGATCCCCATCCCCACCAGCGTGGGCTGGGCCCCACTGGCCGATTTAACCCCCTGGATGGGGATGTATGCTGCTCTCTTCGGGCTTCGAGGGGCATATCCCAAACTGAGGTGGTTAGACGGTGGGGCTCGAGATGTGGATGGGGATGGGGATAGGGATCGGTTAAACGATACTGAGCACCGTCTTGGGCGAGAGGGCGCACGCAGGGATGAGCAGCGTCATGGGCTCCTTCAACGCTGCATCAAGCTGGGGCAGCACCTTCGCGGCCTGCCGCGCCGTCAGTGGCCAGACAACCACGCGAGCTGCGTCTCGGCGCGCGTGCTCGGCGGCCCAGCACGCGTAGGAGGAGGACAATAAAAGACAGCACAAGCCCAAAATACATCAACGATGCTGCAATTAATTACTACTCCCTCCAAGCTCCCTCTTCACAGGTCCACCTAAGATGTAACTCGATTGCGGGAAGTGCCCCATCGGAAGGCAGCCGTCTGCGCAGATCCAATCGTGCCACAACACAGTTCCAGGGACTTCAGCGCCGCGAAGCATCGTGACTACTTCGCCCTGACAATCCTATGAAGTGCGCCAGAAAACAAAACCTGATACTTCAACCATGCGAACCCTTGGAAACGCTGCAATGTGCGTAAGACGGATGTGCGCGGCGCTAAGACGAGAGCCGCATGCTGAAAAGGAACCGTCCTCTATCATTGAATGTGCTGCACATGTTTTGAAGACTACTGTGCACGGCGCTAAAGCGAAAGTCACATGTTGCAAGCGTGCCGCCCTCCATTTTCAAAACTGTTGAACTCTTCAAGCTCAGGATCGCAAATGGTGATAAAGTCTGAAGCGAAGTGCCCGGCTGGCCCTACCGACACATCTGGGGGTGCGACAGGGAGGAATTATGCACCAGGAAAAGGGCTGGAGGGGGAGGAGGGGAACGAGGAGGAGAAAGGAAGAGCCCAGTCCTGTCTCTTCTTCTGTTTCCTCCTCCCTCTCACCCCGCGTTTCCCCTCTTCTCCCTCCTCCCCCTCTTCCTTCCTCCCCCTCCTCCTAGTCAAGGGGGAGGAAGGAAGAGCAGACAGCGGTAGGGAGCAGGGGCAGGAGCAGGCCTCGGAACCAGGCAGTCGACATCAAAACTATCACCAGGTGTCCCAGGTTTTGGAGGTCGTGCAAACTCCGCCATCTCGTCATCATCATCCTCCCCATCCTCCCCCGCCTCCTCCCCTCCGCCTCGCCCTCCTCCTCCTCCCTCTCCTCCTCCTCCTCCTCCTCCTCCTCCTCCTCCTCCTCCTCCTCCTCCTCACCACCACCACCACCACCACCACCACCACCACCACCACCACCACCACCATCCTCATCCTTCATCCTCATCCTCATCCTCTTCCTCCAGCTCCTCCAGCTCCTCCTGCTCCTCCTCCTCCTCCTCTTCCTCCTCCCCCCCCTCATCATCATCATCATCATCATCATCATTCATCATCATCATCATCATCATCATCATCATCATCATCATCATCATCATCATCATCATCATCCTCATCCTCATCATCATCATCATCATCATCAGCAGCATCATCATCATCATCATCATCATCATCATCATCATCATCATCATCATCATCATCATCATCATCACCACATCATCATCATCATCATCATCAGCATAATCATCAGCAGCAGCATCACCACCACCACCACCACCATCATCATCACCACCCCCACCGCCACCTTCATCATCATCATCCTCATCAGCATCAGCATCATCATCATCGTCATCATCATAATCATCCTCGTCAGCAGCATCAGCAGCATCATCATTATCAGCATCATCATCATCATCATCATCATCATCATCAGCAACATCATCATCCCGCTCCTCCCCCCCTCCTCCTCCTCCACCTCATCCTCCTCTGCCACGTCCTCATCATCCTCATCATCATCGTCATCATAAGCATCATCAGCATCCTCATCAGCATCATTATCATCATCGTCATCGTCATCAGCCTCATCATCCCCGTCGTCAGCAGCATCACCATGATCAGCAGCAGCATCGGCATCAGCATCAGCATCATCATCGTCATCACTAGCATCATCATCAGCAGCAGCAACAGCATCAGCATCAGCATCATCAGCATCATTATCATCATCAGCATCATCAGCGTCAGCATCGTCATCATCAGCATCAGCATCAGCAGTATCATGAGCATCACCATCAGCATCAGCATCCGCAGTAGCAACATCAGCAGCAGCATCATCAGCATCAGCATCAGCATCAGCATCAGCATCAGTATCAGTATCAGCATCATCATCATCAGCATCATCATCATCATCATCATCATCATCATCATCATCGTCAGCAGCATCGACATCGGCATCATCATCATCATCATCATCATCATCATAATCATCATCATCATCATCATCAGCAGCAGCAGCTTCATCAGCATCAGCAGCATCAGCAGCATCAGCATCATCATCAGCCGCAGTAGCATAGTCGTCCTTCATCAGCAGGCAGGCAGACAGGCAGTCCGATCGAGTCAATGCTCGGCCCAGGATCGGGCGCGACTGTGTTGAACCTCAAGCCTCACTCTTGGAGCCCGAGGGAAAAACGCACAAAGTCCTCTTC